TAGAAATTAACCCGAAAAGAAAAACATATTGAACATCCTTCATTTCATATCATGTCTACAAAAAAAGGAAAAGAATGAGTAAATATATATATATATATATATATATATATATATATATATATATATATATATATATATATATATATCCTCACTTATAAACTTTGAAGCACAACCATTAGATTATTGGAAATTATAAACATTATATTTTACCATTAAACTTATCCTTTTTTCATTATTTAGGAATAATGAATAAAGACCTTAATAAAAAGGGACTGTTGTTAACACGTAATATGTTTGTCGTAAAACAAAAAAAAAAAAGACATGTGAACGTAGTTCCTGTATATATATTCTTTAAAGTGGTTGTTTCTGATTTTTTTTTCCTGAAAACGGGTTTCTTTGGTTGAATAAAAAGTATTGTGTGGTAATTATAAAAAAAAGACTCCATACGGAGTCAGGCTGAAAAGGGGAAGGGTGTTGTGGTAACTTCCTTCCAAAAATGTCGGACTCTTCCGCCTACTATAAGATTAGTAGGAGAGTAGGCCTTGGGGAAACAGTCGACCAGATTGTTCATCTGTCGAACTCTCTGCCCCGAGCAGAGAGGAACCTGGACGAAGCTTTGCCGAAGGTCAAAGTTTCGTCCGGGGTATTAGACAGGCCCTGAACTCCTTTTTACGTGTTCAAAGGAAATAATTTGGGCCGAGGCTACGGGCTCGGAGAACCCACGGTAAACTTGGCCTTGTGCCACAAACATCCCTCGTGGGGGGGGGAGCTGTTAAATATTAACAGTCGACCAGACTTTTCACAACTGTCGAACACTGTCTCGGCAGAGAGGAACCCGGAGGAGGCTTTGCCACAGGGCAAAGTTTCGTCCGGGAAGGAAGACAGTCCTTGAACATGTTTATACGGGTTCTAAGGGAATATTTTTAGCCGAGCCTACGTGTTCGGAGAACCCACGGTAAACTCGGCCTCGTGCCACAAACATCCCTCGTGGGGAGGGGCTGTTAAATATAACAGTCGAACAGATCTGTTCGCACTGTGCTGGTCAAACTCTCTGACTCCAGGCAGAGATGATCCCCAGACGAGGCTATGTCGAAGGGCAGAGTCTGTCTGAAAAAAAAGCTACACGACCCCGTTTTATACGGAGTCTATGGGAATTTTTGCCGAGCCTAAAAGCTCGGATTCCCCACATTAAACACGGCTCAGGTCACATCCTACCTCGTGGGAGGCTGGTAAATATAACAGTCGAATAGACTGAACGCTGGGGTCAACCGACACACACTCACTAGTCGGGTAATACTCTTCTGTTGTACTTAATGTTTAATGCATGATATATCTGCAACACTTGTTTTTTTTTATTTCTATAACAGTTTACTTGGTCACAACAATGTGGTTAATAGGTGATCATGGCTCTTCACAACTTCCCAACTCTTGTGACTCTTAGCAGCGTTCCTCCATTTGCTAAGTTTATCATCTCGTTCCACCATCCATTCACACAATATGTGAATCGCTGCCTCTCGATATCTCTCGATATGCCCTGTGAGTGCTAGTTTCTCCGAGCTCTCATTCCTCATTATGATATATGATATATATGTATGATATAACTTCAACACTCGTCTTACATACATTATGAAATGGACAAAGTCTTGTTATTTCTTAACCATTTACTTGGTAAAGAAAGAAAGAAATAATGAATATACAGGCAAAGAAAGGAAGAAAGAAAGAAAGTATAAACGTGCAAAGAAAGAAAGACAGGTAGAGGAAGAAGCAAGACTGAAATAATAGAGAGGAAAAGAAAGAAAAAAGAAAGAATAGCCTAGTAAAGAAAGGAAGAACAGATAAAGAAAGAAGAAAGAATGAAATAATTGAATGTAAAAAAAGAAAGAAAGAAAGAGCAGCCAAAGATTAAAGGAAAAGAAAACAAAGGGAAAAAAGAAAATGAGAATTAAACTAAGAAACAAATAACGAAAGGAAGAACAGTCAAAGAAAGAATAAACAGAGATAGAAAGAATAAACAGACCATATATATATATATATATATATATATATATATATATATATATATATACCAGAAACTATAATGGGCGAAACCGAAAAGACAAACGAAAAACGAGTAAAAAATTCTTTCCTTTCATAATTCGGAAAGAAAAAGAAGAAGAAAAACAACAAACGTAATGAGGAAAGAGACGAGAAAGGAAGAAACGAAAGAAAAAAGAACAAAGAAGAAAGGAAGAAAGAAAGGAAAAACAGTAAACAATAAAGAAAATAGAATAAAAACCAAATCGAAATCAAAGACAAATAAAAAATAAGACGTGTTGAAGGCTTCAGTTCAAAGATTATTGGTAAGATCAAACACTGTTTAATATTAAATAACCCCCCATCGATGATTTAATATCGCAAGCATTTTCTATACTTTAAATAATACCTTTTCCATAAATAAATAAATGTCATTTTCTTCATCTTTTTCGTTAACCAGAATATTTCTGTAAAAGAATAATAACATCCATTTTCCCGACTTCAAAAATAAAAGGGACAATTTCAAAGGTTCAATAGATATTCTATAACTGTTTGATAACATTTGTTTTTTACAGTGAGGCTCACTCTGTACAAGACCCGGGAGTCACTCAAGGTAGAGGTTTACGATGAGGGGAGTTAATATTGATAGGAGGTGAAGATAAGGGTTAACTCTAGACTTGAACAGGTTCCGATTCTAGTTACTTCTTAACGATGGAATAACTGGAGGGGTTGTTATAATGTAATTGGCATTGCGGGTCCGAGCTGTGAAGGTTAGGCCTAATGGAATCAAGAAACGTAGTTCTTCCGAGGACTTTCCGTAAAAGTAGCTATAGACTAGTGAGAGATTCGCCACACCCCGCCTGTGAGAGAGACGTTGGATGGAGGAAAATAATTCGTCACCCAAAAAAACAAAGACAAATAAAAAAAAAATTAAGTCGTGCTGAAGGCTACAGTTCAAAGATTATTGGTAAGATCAAACACACTTCCTCCATCGTTGATTTAATATCGCAAGCATTTTCGACATTCTAAAAATACCTTTTCCATAAATAAATAAATGCAATTTTTCCTTATTTTTTTTTTAAACCCAGAGGATTTCGAATACCATAAGATTCTGTGGAAGATAATCTAAGGAAAAATTCATCCATTTATCACGACTTTAAAAATAAAAGGGAAAATTTCAAAGGTCCAATAGATTTTCTATGACTGTTTGATATGACTTCTTTTTTACAGTGAGGCTCACTCTGTACAAGGCCCGGGAGTCACTCGAGGTAGAGGTTTACGATAAAGGGAAGTTTATATTGATAGGAGGTGAAGATAACGGTTAACTCTAGACTTGAACAGGTTCCGATTGTAGTTACTTCTTAACGATGGAATAACTGGGTGGGGGGTTGTTATAATGTAATTGGCATGGTGGGTTCTAGCTGTGGAAAAAAGATAGGTGTAGATGAGAGATTTTAAGCGCTGAAAATTGCATCCAAAAACATTCATTTTTCATGAATTTTCTTGATTTATTGATTGCTCCTAGGATATAAAACATTTCAATAGTAAAGTTTAGTTGAATATTATTATTTTATCATGAAAATATTTAATTTTAAAGTCTTTTTCAGAAAAATAATTGCTCAATCCCAAAATGAATTTGCCTAATCGATTTTGAACTAGCTAAGTCCCAAATCAAATTCCAAATTCCAAATCAATTCCATTTTAAATTTGACTATTCCATTTTGAAATTACTATGTCCCAATTTAAACTTGACTATTCCATTCTGAACTTGGCTATTTCATTATTAACTTGCTTAGTCCCAAAATGCTTTTCTTTAGTCCCAAATTGAACTTGAAATGGTATAGTTTGTCTTTGAAGGTATTGAATGTAAATACACTTCCTCTATCGTTGATTTAATATCGCGAGCATTTTTGACATTCTAAAAATACCTTTTCCATAAATAAATAAATGCAATTTTTCCTTATTTTTTTTAACCCTGATACCATAAAATTCTGCGGAAGATAATCTAAGAAAGAATAATAACATTCATTTATCACGACTTTAAAAATAAAAGAAAATTCTTGAAAGATTCAATGGATATTCTATGACATTTTAATAGTACTTTTTTTTTTTCGTTTTCTACAGCAAGGTTCACCCTGTACAACGTCCTTGCCCACTCGCGGTAAAGGGTTAGGATAGGGGGGAGTTTATATTGATAGGAGGTGAAGATAACGGTTAAGTCTAGACTTGAACAGGTTCCCATTGTAGTTACTTCTTAACGATGGAATAACTGGAGGGGTTGTTATAATGTAATTGGCATTGCGGGTCCGAGCTGTGAAGGTTAGGCCTAGCGGAATCAAGGAATGTAGTTCGTCTGAGAACTTTCCGTAGAAGTAGCTATAGAATCGTGAGAGATTCGCCACCCCCCCGCCTGTGAGAGAGACGTTGGATGGAGGAAATTCGTCACCGAAAAGGACACGGAAACGCTTTGGAACTTACCTGAGACTGGAAAGTGAGGACTGGTTATTTCCCGTTCAAATATGATAACGGTACTCCATTTTAGGCCTGACCTGGCTCTTGTAATTTTAGAGAATATCATGAAGACTTAATCATTGACGATCGATTACATGTAAGTGCTCTATTGGAGGTCAGGGTGGAATTTAAGGCCCAAGAGTCTCTCAAGTCACAAAGTCACAATGACTACCGGTAGTTCATGGTCCGATCGACGAAGATGGAATGCAACTAGTGACATCCGTTCACCGTGACTGGCCGTAGGTTGCGGTCCTATCGACGAAGATGGAATGCAACTAGTGACATCCGTTCACCGTGACTGGCCGTAGGTTGCGGTCCTATCGACGAAGATGGAATGCAACTAGTGACATCCGTTCACCGTAACTGGCGGTAGTTCGTGGTCCGATCGACGATGATGGAATGCAACTAATGACATCCGTTCACGGTGACTGGCGGTATTCGCAGTCCGATCGACGATGATGGAATGTAACTACTTTGGCTTTTAAGACATTGAATGTAATCAGCCATTTTTTTCTGAACTGGGTTTTTAGTGCTAGGTCAGAAAATCAAAGGAGAGGTCACCTGCCAAACTCTAATCCTCAAAGGTTTTAGAAGTACACCGGTATATAGTCCTATCATCGGCATAGATATTTACAAATAATCCGACAATATTTTGGAGGCAGATCATTTATGTAAATCAAAACAAGCGCTGGTGCGAGAAGTGACCCTGGGGCATGACTACATTGATCGCCAAGGCTCCGGAGCAATGGCCGTTAATAACTACCTTCAGGGGCCTACCGGTTTGGATGGATTTTATAATCGACAAGACCCTTCCAGTAATTCCATAGCTGGAGAACTTGTGTAGAAAACCTCTGTACAATACCTTGTCGAAGGTCTTCGAGATATCGAATGCTATGGTCGAGGTGTGTTTGTCGTCGAGAGCATCATTAGCTGTGTGAGTAATGGTAGTTAGGACATCAGCAGTGGATCGTGCCGACTGAAAACCTTACTACTCATCACTGAAAGTGTTGTTCTTTAGAGACCCCCCCAAAATGTATACACACTTATGGAAAAAAGTATTTAGACTTTTACCTATGGGGGAACCTAAAGGATGTTGTGTATCGCAGAAATACTGATTGGCGGGCCTCAGACAAGAAATTCAAAATGCATGTCAAGAAATATTGGATATTTTGGCCAACATTGCGTAAGCAGATTCTCGATTGGATTTAAATCAGGAGAGATTCCGGACCAGTCTATAGTGCTCCGATTTGCTCACTGGTAAGCCTTGCCATTGCATTCGTGCAGCATTATAATTTTCGTACGCTTCCTTGGAGTAACGTCCATCGCAGACAATGTTTGCAGGACAATTAATCAACAGTCGAGACAATAGTGTCTGGACGTGATAAAAATCTGACGCAATCACGGATGACGCAATAATTTTCATGACCAAACAAATTTCATCATACACCGCGAAAATATATTCATATTGCTGTACACCACTGCAAAAAAATTCTAATCTGAGGAAAAAACAGAGATCGATTACGCCCTGTCACTTCAGTGGGTCTAAAAGGAAACTAAAGCGGTTGTTTCAATTGATTTGTACAGGGGTGTAACTTGTATTAATCTCGTGGTGTCTGAATAGATTTAGTATTACAATATGTAGACATGTTCTTCTTTGCCTATTTGCATTTTTTGACGGAATCTGTATATATATATATATATATATATATATATATATATATATAAGGTATACTATATTTATGGATTGAAGTGTTAATTATCAGAGGAGAACGCATGTTAATATAAATGTGGTGATTGATACATAAATGATTACATAAAAAATTTTTAGATTCAAAGTCAAGTCAGTTGTAAATATTTACCTTTGAAATGCTTCAAAATCAGTGTACCTTAGAAAAATATGATTAAAAATATATTAATAGTAATATTGGGTGTTTCCTTAAAAGGAAACATTTGGCATTCATTGACCGAACAGCCAGTGCTACTTTTCGTTGAAATTTATAAAATCTCTCTCAAAACATTTTTTCAGGAAAATAGGTTTCTCAAGTCAAGTAGCTGTCATTCCAGTATTGATGGGGTTTTCCTTCTTAACCTTTTAAGGTGTATGGAAAGTCAATACCATCATTATTTTCTCTTTGGGTTACATGTGATATCCATTTTAGCTGTTAGGCAACTTAGAAATATCTTTGACATCCAAGATGTTATCTGAATTAGTAATATCATAATCATGATGTTTTATGTAGAATATATAAAAGTATATTAAGATTACCAAAAGATAATTTAAATAGAAAAAAAATATCTAACAATACTTAAAAAATATTTGCAATTTGCTTTCTCTATTTTGTACTTACCAAGGATTACTAGGTTTAAAAAAACTTTACTGTTTTTTAATTAAATTAGGCACCAGCTTAAATTATATATATCAATAGCAGCAGTATTGCAGTCTCAGATGATCATCGATGCCAGACTCTTAGCTGCAAAGTACAATGCATGGGAGGTAGACAAGGCCAGAGATACTGCACACATAGACCTGTTCCATATCATGGGATGGTACCTTCCAACTGTTTGTACTTTCTTCTTGTTCTATTGGCCTCTATGTGATTAGTCAAGTTGAACTCATATACAAACAGTCCACTGTAGATTGACTGCTGCCATTGAAAGTGGTATATATATATATATATATATATATATATATATATATATATATATATATATATATATATATATATATGTGTGTGTGTGTGTAGTGGGGATCAACACCCAGAAGTGACATTCTACTTTTTGCTTAAACGCAATCTTCAGGCCAAATTATTGCGTTTAATCGTGAAACACAATGTCGCCGCTGGGCGGGGACTTAAATGTCCATTTTTACATTGATATTACACTCGAAAAATACATCTCTCCTCAGTTTCGTATACTAACGTAAACAAAGCAAGTTTAGGATAGGATTTTTCATTATTTAATCGGACATATGTTTTA